GGAAGGAGAGAGAGGAAAAGCGCAGAGCAAGAGATACACCCTCCAAAACATGCCCCCAGTGACCGACCACCTCCAGCTAGGCCCCACTGTCTGAAACCCATTTAGCTATGAACTTATCAGTGGATTAATCAGCTGATGAGTATAGCACTCCTATGATCCGATCACCTTTTGAAAGCCCTATCTCTGAATATATGAGACTTTTGGGGGACCTTTTGAATGTAAGCCATAACATTTTTTTCTGGATTCTTTAGATGAAAGGCTGGCCTGTTAAGAATTATCCTCTTTTGTAATACATGCATTTTAGTGTTGTAATTTCCCTCAGTGTTGTATCTGTTTTCCACAGAAAGAAATTTATTTGTTTGATTTTTTTTACAGCCCAGAATATACCCTATCTTGATATATGTTCTGTGATATCTGAAAATAATATGTATTTTGTTGTTGAGGGGAGTGTTCTTTCTACAAACACTGACTTGATCTTATTGGTAGATATGATGATGTTCTGTAATTTTGCTGAACTTCTGTTGTTGAGAAAGGGATATTGAAGTCTCTGTGTATTGTGAATTTTTCTGTTTCTCCATTAATTTTTTTTTTTTTTTTGAGACAGGGTCTCACTCTGTAATTCAAGCTGGCCTTGAACTCGCCATGTAGCCCAGGCTGGCCCCAAACTCATTGGCAATCTTGCCTCAGCCTTCCTACTGCTCAAAATACAGGCCTGGACAGGTGTGCACCACCACACCCAGCTCTATTTGTCCTTTTAGTCTTACATAGTTTTGTTTTGTGTATTTCTTACCTGTGTTATTTGGTGCAAATACTTTCTCTACATGTATTTTTGGTTTTTCCCGGTTTTTTGTTTTTGTTTTTTTTAAGACAGGGTCTCAGTCTATAAATTCAGCTTGGCCTTGAACTCACTATGTAGCCCAGGCTGGCCTCGAACTCACAGCGATCCTCCTTCTCAGAGTGCTGGAATTACAGGCATGTGCCACCACACCCAGTGCTACATGTATTTTTGAACTATGTCATAAACTGTGTCATAAACTGCTTCAGCCATCAGAAATAATTTAGAAAACTTGAGAATGAAAGTCCATTGCATTTATGTGCATTTTCACTTAACCATTTTCTGTCTCTCTGATGCTCTAAGATTCTTTACTTTATTGTTTTGTTTTGCTGGGGATTTAGCTCAGAGGTTTCTCCACCTGCTGCGCAAGCACAAGGACCCAAGTTCGATCCCCGGTACCAAAAAAAGAAAAAGACTTTATTGTTTTGTTTTATTTGGCAAAAGGGAGCTTCCTTTTGCCATTGTTTTACAGTAGGTCTGCTGGTGACAAGGAGTATTAATTTTCTTTTATTTGAAAATGTTTTAGTTTCCCCTTCATTCCTGAAGGCTATTTTCTCTGCACGTAGGATTATGGGTTGGAATTTTTTTTTAATTTTAGCACTTGAAAAATGTCCCACATTCTTCTGCCTCCCAGTTGTCTCTGTCTCCTCTCTAATGAACACCAGATGTTTATTATAAATCAGTTTCATTTTTGTGGCAACTTCTTGCCTAAGCCTGCTAACTGCTCCAGTATAGAATGGTTGTCCTCTCCTGGTGCACAGCCTCGATCTTGAGATCTTTCTTCATAGCCATCCTTAGAAGCCCCTTCCATTTCTTCTGTTGGATCTCCATTTCTTTCTTTTTTTTTTTTTTTTTAGTACCAGGGATAGAACTCGGGTCTTTGCGTTTGCGCAGCAGGCAGCTAAACCACTGAGCTAAATCCCCAGCCCAATGGGATCTCCATTTCTTAACTGTTTTTTTCCCTGGTTTTATTAGCATGCTGGGAAGAAAATTTTTTGAACTTCAAATTTCTGCTTAAATGCTCCTACACTCACATAAATGATCGATAATTTGGCTAGATAAAACTTTTAAATTGAGTTTTTTTGTTTTGTTTTGTTTGAGACAGGGTCTTGCCTTGTAGTTCAAGTTGGCTTTGAACTCAATTTATAGCCAGGCTGGACTTGAACTCACAGGAATCTTTCTGCCACAGCCTCCTGAGTACTGGGATTACAGGCATGACCACCATGCCCAGCGAGTTGACTGAGAATTTGAAGGGATTGCTCTATATCATTATCATTTGTATGTGGCCAGATTTGGATCTTAGGGTTTATTGTCTGTTTTGTGTATTTTCTTCTTTAGCTCTTTCTAGTACTCTGAAATTTGACAATAATGTGCCTTGTAGGTCTATTTTTATCCATTATTGTAGCCCAAAGTGTATCCTTTCCATCTGGAAATTCATGTCCTTCAACCTTGTATAGTTTTCTTAAATTTTTGTCTTCAATTTCTCTATTTTCTACTTTTTCTTTTCTTTTTTTTTTTTTTTGTGGCACCAGGAATCCAACTCAGGACCTTGTACTTGCCAGGCAGGTACGGCACCACTGAGCTACATCCCCATCCCTCTATGTATTCTTTCTTAAATTACTTGTATTTGAGTGTTGGTTCCCCTAAGCCGCCCGTCTTCTGATTTTTTTTCCTTTACTTTTTTGCCTTATATTCTGAGCGGTATCCTCAACTTTCTCTTCCAACTTACATTGTTTTTCTTATATCTTAATTTATTTTTAATTTGGGGAGGATTTTTTTTTTTTTTGGTACTGGGTTCGAACTCAGAACCTTGTGTTTGCAAGGCAGGTGGTGGCACCACCGAGCTAAATCCCTGGTCTGGGATCTCATTTTTGTGTTACAGATATAATTTGATTTTCTCTCTTGAGGATTTTTTAAAAACTCAGGTTTATCAAGGTATAATTTAGGTACAATGAAAATTCAGCCTTTTTTAGTGTTTAGTTCAGTAGGTTTTGGCAGGTAACCACCACCATAATTAAAATAGGATAGTTCTTTAAGAACTTTGACCACAATAATGGCAGTATTTTTAGGGAGTGTGTGTGTGTGTGTGTGTGTGTTTTCTCCTGTGGAGATGGTCAGAGTTCCAGAAGACCATCTTGTGCACTTTTTCCTAGAATGTATAAGCCTGGTTAAAAGCCTTTGTAAGTGGTAGGAAGAAGGTAAAAGAACTCAAAATTAGCATGTAAACTTTTACTTTATCCTTTTAGAATATGTTCCTCACATCCTCATTTATGCCTATTCCCATCCAAAAGACTAATTTACATTTTCCATAGAATAAAACTCCAGTCTTTCACTGGAATAGGGAAGGGGATATTAACTGTGTCTTAAATGGATAGTCAACCAACTTGTTTTTAGGATCACTTTTGTCTTCACTTCTTCAGTCTTTGGTATTGCCAGTTCCTATACCTTTTAGGGATTGGGGATTCTGCTTTGTAGCTTTCTTCGTTACTGATTTAGAATTTGGCTTTCTCAGATCTGTTAAGTCAGTTACCACTTTTGCTTTGCAATTTCTAAAATGTTACTGTCATCTCCTTTGTCCACATGAATTTTATGCCTCTAAAAATCTTTTACTATCATTTTAATGGAGTTTAAGGAGGATAGTAGAATTGTGTGTGTTCAGTCCATGATCTTTAACTGAAAAACCCTCTTTTATTTTTAGTGCTTACATTGTGGCATTCTGGACAAGACTCTTTATGGTCTAGCTTCTGCCTATTCTCTAGCCTCATTCCCCACTCTACTGCAACTGGCCCCCAGCCTAAGCTCCTGCCACATGTATCTACTTAAGAGATTTTTCAAACCATGTTGCCTCCTTCTTTTCAGTTCTATACCTGCAGTCCTTTAAGACTCAGTTAAGCTTTGCTGAGTGCCCCTTGGTCAGAGTGCTTATGGTATTATTGGAATTATCTGTTTACTTTTAAAATCTTCCATTCTAGAGACTTTAACCTAAGGCTACATGTGGAAGGGCTGCCCGTGAGTTAGCTACAGGAAATCTTACAATTCTCTAAAACTATTTGCATAGTTTTACATAACTGTGTATTTGGGGGGAATGTGGAATGTGCATCAGAAATACCTGTGGAGATTTTTTTTTAATGCAGTTGCTTTGGGTTCTACTTCACAGATCTACGGAATAAAGTTTTTAAATTTAGGTCTCATTAAAATGCATTTCCACAAACTTCTTAAATGATTCTTTAGAATGGATCTCTGAATATCTTCTACTTTAACTCCAGGGCCTCATCTGTAGCAGATACTTTTTAATGTATAAAGAATGAGGGAGGAATCTCTGTTTAGAATATGACCTAAAATAAATTTCCTCTGTATATAATTGAAAGTCACAGCATCTGTTTCCACCCCTACTTCTGCCTTTGGATATTACTAGGGAAACAAAGAGAATGGATTTTTTTCCCCCCCAAAAGAGGACAGGGCCGGGGATTTAGCTCAGTGGTTCCGGCGCCCACCTTGCAAGTGCAAGGTCCCGAGTTTGATCCCTGGTACCAAAAAAAAAAAAAAAGAGGGCAGCTTTGGAGAGCTAGCTGTAAAAAATGAAAGAAAAATTAAAGGATCACGTTTAGGATTAGTCAGATGTATATAGTCTGACTTTGGATCCTCTGGTTGCTTATGGGTTTTGTTTTGTTTTGTTTTCATTAACCTAGTCATGTTCCAAAATTTTTAGGCTTCTGTACATTTGGATATCAGAGGTACCATTACTCTATAGACTTGATTTCTAATTTCATTAAAATGGATAATGATGTGGAAAATGGGGAGATTGACATATTAACTTTGGCACAAACATACAATATTATTGTAATTGTTGTGACAAAAGAACATAATTTCCTGAAATTTCATGCTGCCACTGTGTTTAAGGTTTTTTTGTTTTTGTTTTTGTTTTGGTACCGGGGATCGAACTCAGGGTCTTGCACTTGCGAGGCAGGCGATGGCACCACTGAGCTAAATCCCCAGCCCTGTGTTTAAGGTTTTTATGATGTATAAAATACAACTATCTTCTACTTTACTTATAAGCCTTTTTGACACAGAATGGAGCTTTTGATGCATGTTTATATATGTATTAAAAAACGACCAGGTTCTTTTGCTTTTTGTATTTTCCATTTATTATTCTTATTTTATTTAGGTAGTTAAAGAGATTATGGCATCTGAAAATCACAATGTTAAAAAACGGAACTTTTGTAATAATATTGAGGATCATTCTACTGATCGTCCTAGAAAAAGGATCTCTAATTTCACTAAGAAGAACATGAAGGAGGTAAGTCCATGGTGTCTAAGTAATGGGTAAGATAATTTAAACTGACAGGTCTTTTGATAGTTCTAGTAAATTGTTTAAACAGTGGGAGGGTAATAATTCTTCATCTCTTAGAATTAAACATAATTAATGAAATGTAATCATTATAACCTTTTTTGGCAAGTATACTGTTTTGACATGCTGTAATTTGAATATTTTAGTTTAAGGTGAAGTTCAGAGGTTTTTTGTTTACCATTGCAAGATTCATTAGCATTGATATGATTTCTTTTAAACCATATTAATACTTCAACTCACTTATTAAGAACCTTATGATATATGACTAGTAATGTGAAAAATAGGGAGATGGATATGTTGCTTTGCCAAAAATGCCTACATATAATGTTGTGCTTAATGATTGAGATCATAGGATTAGGATAGAGAAAACACATCTGAAAAACATACTTGTTAAATTTTATATTTACTGACATGGATCATAAAATTTACATAACTATTATGAACTTAATATACTTTATTTTCTTTATTCAGGTTAAGAAATCTCCAAAACAGTTGGCTGCTTACATAAATAGGTAAGATCTTCTCTCCTGCAAGTGTACAGTAGTTTTCCAGAGGTGACATAACATTTGATATCACATGAGACTAAATTCAGAAGCAGAAACAAGATATCAGGTGTCTTCTGTTAAATAGTCTGCCAAATATTAGAGATTTGCAAAAAATTAAAATACTGCTATCCTCTCTCTTTCTCTTTCTCACTTTCTCTCTTTCTTTCTCTTTCTCTCTCTTTCTTTTTCTCTTTCTTTCTCTTTCTGGAGACAGGGTCTTGCTGTGCAGTTCAGGCTGGCCTTGAACTCACTGTGCAGCCCAGGCTGGCCTTGAACTTGTGGCAGTCCTCCTGCTTCAGCCTCCCAAGTGCTGGGATTACAAGCATGCACCACCATGCCTGGCCCTTGTCTCTCTCTCTCTTTTTTTTTTTTTGGTACCAGGGATTGAATGTGGGACCTTGCACTTGCGAGGCAGGCGGCGGCACCACTGAGCTAAATCCCCGGCCCTATTCTTTTTTTTTTGATTGCTAAGGAAAATGATTTTTAGGAGATAAAATATGATATATTAGTCTGTATGTTAATTCACTTTCCGTCACTGTAACAAACTACCTAAGAAAAACTACTTACAAAGAAGAAAGTTTATTTTGCATCATGGTTTCAGAGATTTCAATCCATGATCTCTTACCCTTTTGCCTTTAGGCCTGTGGTGAGGCAGTACATCATGGTGGAGAGCACATGAAAAAGGAAACTGGTCTCCTCGTTGCTATTGGGAAGAGAAGAGAAAATGGGACCAGGGGCTGGGCTGATTTTAGTCTCTTTGAGAGTACATCCCAATGACTTACTCTCCTTCAACTAGGTCCCACTACTAAAAGTTCTATCCCCCAGTAGTACCACAGGCTGACTGACAATCAAGCCTTTAACACATGGCCTTCTTAGGACATTTCAGATCCAAATTATAACAACATGTAATGAATCTATTATTTTTTAAATGAATTAACAAATGTTTTAAATTTTTCTCCACTTTAGTTTCTGATACAGAAACATCAGTAGATATTGACCACAAAAAATTCTGAGTTCAAATTTTAAAGAATGTAAAGCATCCTGACACCAAAACATTTGAAAATCACTGTATTCTATAAGATTTGCTGTTTTGTTCTTTCACACTTAAAATTAATCACAATAAACTTAAAAGTTAATCATGCAGTTTGTTACTTTGTTTAAAAAAAGATTAGATGTCTCAAAATTTGTAATTTTCTTATTTTCATAGCAGCCTTTAATATTTCATTTTCAAAGCATTTATTCATGTTTTTCTTCATTTCAATTTGGCATAAAGTATAATTCTTTTCATTGCTTTCTAGATAATTTATAATTTTTATTTTCCTCAAGAGTTAACATTTTATTATTCTACTTATTTCTAATTTTAGTGGATTACCATCAGAAAATGTGGCCTATTAAATCTCTTTAAAAAGATTTTTTTCTTTTTTTTCACTTAAAGAAAATAAATTCTTTTTACAGAACAGTTGGACAAGCTGTGAAAAGCCCGGATATCCTACATAAGGTGATCTATTGCAGAAAGAAAGTTCATCATCCCTTTCCAAATCCTTGTTACAAAAAAAAACAGTCCCCTAGAAGTGGGGGCTGTGACATGGCAAATAAAGAAAATGAGCTGGCTTGTGCAGGCCACCTGCCTGAGAAGTTACATCACGATAGTCGGACATACGTGGTTAACTCCTGTGACTCTGGTTCTTCACAGACAGAAAGCCCGTCATCAAAATATAGTGGGTTTTTCTCTGAGGTAAGTTGTTTTGTTAAGTCATTTTTACCTTAACTTTATTTCTGTTATGCTATTATTTTTGTTGCCTTATTCTAGCAGAATCGTCACCCATTGACTACACTTATTTGAGTGATAGTAACTTCTTGAAACATCCAAATTTGAGTCAGTAATTTATCTCATTTCTCTTAAGTTAGAATATGTTAAGATACAATAAAATGCTTGACAGGCTGCTATAAACACCCACAATGACAGTTTGGCCAATAGAGATTTAAATGAAGTTTTGGAAAAGGAGAAATTACAGTTAGGATCCTACAATTAGGATCACTAAAGGCATTACCCATGCAAACCCATTAGCTGCTCTAATTTAGTAAAATTGATCTTAACAAAACTGTTCGTACAAGTGCACATATTTTATATACATGCATTAGGATGTCCATTGACACATAGTTTTACTAGATAATAGAATCCAATAACCAAGTATCACTCTAAACAAGTTATATAAAGACTAGAGAATATGCTAGTGTTTTTTAAAAATGAGGTTGATCTGTTTTGACTTTGAAAACTTTAGTACAGGTGAAAAAGCAGAGTTTTTAAAAATACGGATAATTTTAAATTTTTCTAAGTGTTACTACATCCCTATTTTTCTAGGAAATGGTTTGGAGAGATACATACAAGTTTGTTAAGTGTGATTACTTCTGGAGAGAGGGACAGTGGATATTTTTGTGGGCCAGTAGAGTACATTCACTTTTTTTTGGTACCTGGGGATCAAACTCAGGACCTTGTGCTTACGAGGCAGGCAGCAGAACCACTGAGCTAAATCCCCAGCCCATTCACTTTTTCTCTTACTATGTACCATCATACTTGGGTGCACAAATGCTTTCAAACTTTAAATTTAGTATTCAGTACATTTTGACATGAAAACTTTCTGCTGGTATCCATCTTTTGTTTTGACTTGTAAGCTAGAACTTGTCAAAGTCGATTTCCTCCTGATTCATCACCCTTTCCAGCCAAAATAATTTGATTGGTACTCATCATTTTTGTACTCTTTATGCCTCCCAGAACCAATTAATACCATTGTAGTTCTGTTTTAACCTTTTTACAACTGGAGTATATTACTTTATATAAAAAGATACACATAAATGACTCAGCAACACTTGTTGCATAACTGAGTTTTATGGTACCTTTCTCATGCCATTCAGTTGGTAATGACTAGTCTGTATATTTACCTTGTTTCCATATTTGCAAATTAAGTACTAGGTTTGTCTGTCAGCAAAAAATTTATTTTCTAAATTATTGGGAATTTAAAAAATTGTAGCCAGAAAGGAAAAAACAGGTCCTAAATTTATTCACATCGTTTGTTTATTACGTTCAACTGCAATGTTCCTTTTGACGGCCAGTATAATGAATAACATTTGAATAATTTAAAACTATGTCAGACTATTTTCATTGAAAAAACTAGTTTCATATCATGTTTCAGAGTTCTTTTTATCAAATTAGCTTATTGCCTTTCAGGTTTCTCAGGACCATGAAACAATGGCCCAAGTTTTGTTCAGCAGGAATTTGAGATTGAATGTGGCTTTAACTTTCTGGAGAAAGAGAAGTATAAGTGAACTTGTAGCTTATTTAGTGAGGTAAGAGTGACCTTTTATGTTCTTTATTCAATAAAGTAATTTTCAATGTGATATTAAAAGTGCCTGTTCTATGTTTTCAGTAGCTAAAAAATTTAACTTCCTATGTGTAGCTTCCATAGAGACAACAGTATGGTTTAAATTACATTCCTCACTAATCTAAGAGTAACCAGAGTACAGGAAACCATCTGTTTATCAGATTGAGCAAAGCCATTACTTTTTTTGATTAGTTTTCTTTTCTATAAAGCGAAGTGATACTCATGTGAGAAAACTTAACCTTTTAAAAATCCCCTTTTTGCATGGGAATTTTAAGTATACCTTTCGAGTCTCTCAAAAGCTACCTTAGTGAGGCCTTCTTTGTCCACAGTACTTAAAATAAAACAACACTCCTTAATTCTTCACTCCTTATCTTGCTTTGTTTTATTTTTCTGTATAGTATTTGTCATTATCAACCTACTCTTTATATTTACTTGTTTATTGTCTGTTTCTTACCAACCTCCACCTCCTACACTCACATGCTAGAATGCAAGCCCAGTTTTCTACTGTAGTCCCAGCCCCTGGCTTATCGTAGACACTGAAATTACTTATTAAATAAGGAATTTCTCAAAAGCAGGGGTTTCAGCTCTTTTGGGTCAATCCCTGGTCCTGAAAAATTAAGAAAGGAAGGGGAAAGCAGGGAAGGAAGGAAGGAAAGCAGGTAGGTAATAAATCAGCAGTCTAAGGTATGCTATTTTTCTTGTACCCACAGGATAGAAGACCTTGGAGTTGTGGTAGATTGCCTTCCTGTACTCACCAATAGGTAAAAACAGCATTTTTCAGAAAAAAAGTAAGCTTAAAGAAAGACAAATTACAGCCTGTTTATATTTTTATAACTTAGTATTTCTTTTAGTTTACAGGAGGAAAAACAATATATCTCACTTGGCTGCTGTGTAGATTTATTACCTCTAGTAAAGTCATTACTTAAAAGCAAATTTGAAGAGTAAGTGTTAATCTAAATTTCAATTCATTTTTCTCCTTCAGCATTTTGATTTTGTGCATACATATGTACTAGATCAAGCTCCGTGAGATACAAGTGATTTTTGTTTTTGAAGGGGCTTATAGTATGATTAGGAAAGGAATATGAAATTACTAAAGAACAATTACAAAAGTATTTATAAGCATATACATAAAGTATAGCTTCGTGAAATAGATCGTGAAACTAGTGAAATTATTTTAGAAAGAAAAATCAGTGTGTATATGTGGAGGTTTTTTTTTTGGTAGGGAAGATCATCTTTGTAAAGGCTTCTTAAAGGATGACACTTGAATTTTGTAACAAAATGTCATTTCAGATATGTAATAGTTGGTTTAAACTGGCTTCAAGCAGTAATAAAAAGATGGTGGTCAGAACTATCATCCAAAACAGAAATTATAAATGATAGGTAAGTATACCTTCAAAGGTAAATGCGTACTGAAATTTTTTCAGAAAAGCAGCTTTAATAAGGTGATAATTTTATTCCATGATCATCAGTGTGTAATATTTAGGCTCTTTGTTTTCAGAGAAGTATTAAGTTGTGATATTGTTCATTTGTGAGAGTCACATAGAAGTTGAATTCAAGAGCGCAGGAACCCCTTGTATCTCTTCTAGTAAAACAATACCCTTCATTTTAGAAAAAATTCACAACAGTAGTTACTCTCATTTCTGTTGTATGAATGAACGCATCCTGCAGCTTAAGAGGCCCATGCTATCACAGTTCTAAAAACTATATTGTAATCATAATTTGAATATTGATTAGGTATGAAATATGTGGGTATTCTAGCAGATGAGCCATATTTTCATGAAGCCACAAAGAAAATATCTCTCAACAGTCTCTTTAAAGTCTATAATTCTTCCTGAGCTCTCAGAGTTTCCCACTTCATAGCCAAGAACAGGTTGTCCAAATGCCTAGTTTTCTTAGCTGCTTTGACAACTAAATAACCTTGAGTTTCCATGATTGACGTGTACTATTTTAAACAGTTGCTTCACTTTAAATAGTATGTAGTTCTCTTCTGTTAAAAATAGAAAAATTTAAGGCTGTTTTCATTAACTGTGTTTACTACCGAAGTCTAAATCCTACTGTTTCCTCATTTTTCATCTTTTTTTCTTCCTAGAAATATTCAGATTTTAAAACAACAATTAAGTAGATTGTGGGAACAGGAAAACCATCTTACTTTGGTTCCAGGATATACTGGTAATATAGCTAAGGTAATTATATTTAAGCTTAAAAGTTAGGAATTAAATATTAAGATAATAATACTGTACATTTATAAATAAACTGTTCATATCTCTAGTCAAAATAATTTGATACTGTTCTAAGTAAGTCTACAGGCAGACCGACATGATAGCTCACACCTATAATCTGGTAATTCTGGGAAGTTGAGAAAGGAGGATCTCAGGTTAAAGCCCAGCCTGCACAACTTAGTAAGACCTTGTCTCAGAAAAACAAAAAACACCTGGGTTCAGTCCCCCTGTACAAGAAGAAAAAGGCTAAAGGCAGTTTCATTTTTGTGACTTAGTCTTCTGAGTATGAATATGTTCTAGGCAGGAAGCTGGAATTAGCAATTGAGTGTGTTTCACATACAGCCACTGAAATATTCTGCTAGAGAATAATGACCTAGTTCCAATCAGAGAAAAATATTTGAAAAAAAGTTAAGAGTCCAGATGAAGACATCAGAAAAGGCAGTGACACTCAGGAAACAAGACAAAGAGTATAATCAAATGGTTTTGGAATATTAATGTTTACTTTTCTGCTTTGCTAATGGTAAGCTTTTTGAAAAAGAACTGTTTAAATCAGAATAAATTTAACATTGCTCTTTATTGATTTGTTTCTTAAAGGAAAAGGTACACTGCTAGTTTGGATTGTAGTACTTATTTTTTTGGCTTTTGGAGACAGAGTCTTGCTATGTAGTTGAGGCTAGCTTTGAACTCACTGTATAGCCCAAGCTGGCTCAAACTTGTGGCAGTCCTCCTGACTTGGCCTCCAGAGTGCTGAGATTACAGGCATACGCCACCATGCCCGGCAGGATTATAATATTTAAACCTCAGAAAACATTGGTAGTTACAATTACAGAAAAAAATATTGTGGTGCATGCGTATAATCCCAGCATTTGGGAGGCTGAGACAGGAGGATCTCTACACATTTGAGATTAGCCTGGACTACTCAGCCAAAAAAAAAAAAAAAGTTACAAGTATTTCCAGCCTGGGGATGCAGCTCAGTGGTGCAGCACCTGCTAGCCAAGTGCAAGGCCCTGGGTTCAATTCCTGGTGCCAACAAAGAAAAAAGAAACCTTTCCCCCAAAGAGCCAGGTGTGCACACATCTGTACTCTGAGCACTGCGAGGCAAGAGCATCACTGCCAGTCTGAGGCCAGTCTGGGCTACATAGTGAGTTCAGGGTCAGCCAGAACTGCACAGTGAGGCCCTGTCTCTAAAACAAATAAACGAAATATTTCCATCCCATCACTGGGCATGCTGATGTAAGTGAACATTAGCTGCAAATATAAAAGTGTTCTTTGGTTTAAGAAAAAATATTCTGAGAGGATTTATGTCATGAACTCGTAAAATTTTTATTAGTTACCTTAAAAAAATGCCATCAAGCACAGTGTGATTGCTCTGTGATTTTACTGTATAGAATTCTTAATGATGAGAGTCTCATATACGTCAGTTTTCTAGAAATTTTCGTTTCAGTTTTTTAGAGTATGCATAACAAATTAGCATTAGAGGGAGAGGCCTTGTATTCTGGAAAGAAACTGAGAAGTGATTATTTCCTTAGAAACAATGTTTCTGAAAAAAAAATCCTTTCAATTTTAAATTTTTGTAAAAAGAGAAGCTTTATTGCAAACAGGACTTTATTTTTGAAGACTGTTGAGTGATTAAAAGTTCAGTGTGAAGTTCCCTATGTGTATAATAAAATCTCTGTTACAAAATTAAACCTCAGTTAAATTGTAAATGTTTGAGGGTAGAAATCAGAAAGAGTCTTTCACTAAGCTAGCCTTGATTTTATATAGCCCTGGTGGAATTCCTGTGAATTTTAACTAGGAAATCAGAGTTGTTTGAGCACAGGAACCAAAAGATTCACTCATTTAGCTTATATTTATTAAATATGTGTAATGTGTCAAGCCCTTTGCTAAACAGAAGCAGATTTTTAAAAAGGTTGAGTAAAACTTGTCTTTTACCTCCTTGTTGTCACATAGGGAACTTAAGGCAAATCAAGCAACAAAAAGGGGAAAAGAAAATGAATGTATTGCGTATGTTTGTATTTACTCTACTGGCTAATGAAATGTTTTTTGCTTTATCTTCTAAGGATGTAGATGCTTATTTATTGCAGTTGCTTTGAGAGATTTCCTCCACTAAAGAACAGTTGGTTATTTAAAGCATCCCAGGACTCATGATTTCCAACTGAACTGTCGAAGAAATCAAAACCATCCTTTTCTTTTAAAAAATCCACATAATGAAACCACTAATGAAACCCTAACAATCTACTTCACATTGAAGTGGAAAAATATCCAAAACGAGCAGCTTCAACTTCAGTGAGGTGAAAGTGCACTATGAAGATTATTC